TTACAGCTTTCTAATCATTTGCTGCTTATCGTAGGTTGCTAAGCATTATGAAATTTCCCACGTGGAAAAGGTAAAAGGAAATTTTTTGAGATTTTATTATATATATATATATACATTTTAAATAACCAAAAAATCATAAATTACTATATCAATACCACAGAATTCCACTATACTTTATCAAGTGTAGTAACTACACTGTATTTGGGTCTAAAATAAATATGAAATTTCAAGCTCACTAAAAACTTACCTCATCATTTGAAATCTTTTGTGAAAAGAATGAAATTAGCACAATAACACATCAAAATGGCTGAGAAAACCACTAGGGGAAATTCTGAGCTTTAGATTGGTTATTCATGTCATATAAAGAAGTAAGTGTATATAAGGGGCCATTTCCAAAAATGAAAAGAAGTGGGAGATGGGGGCACTGTGTTGGATTCAGTACAGGAGCAATATCTTATCAAATAGAAAAGATAAGACATTCTTATTTTATAATGTAGCTTGTCAATATCTGTCGTTTGAGTTCATAATTTGTATGAACCTGTAGATTTTGTATTTTGACATCATAAACATCTGATTTGAACCATGCTGCATTCAACATACCACGTGACACACAAAAATCTGTGTTTTTAATAATTACTTTTAAATTAAGAAATCAACTAATATATAATACTCAAATTTGAATTATAATCTACAATTTCATACCAAACTTATTGACATAGACTCATAAAATAGTAGTTCAATAACATTTTGAATGCAAGTCCACAAATGCAATGACATAGCCTTTGACATGTGACCTGTTGAGATAGGGTTAAAATAAGTGAAACTTGTATACAAATGTTCGTTACATAGTTAATCCCCACAGTTGTATCCAGAGCTTTCAATAATCATCTCTTTCCATTAAAGTCCACACAGGCTACTTCAGTTGCTTTAGAACACAACTGACAAGATGAATTATTCTTCTCTACAATACAATCGGTGATAATTTCACTTACATTACACTGTTGGTTACCCCAGTTGTATCCAAAACTTTATATAATTGTCTCTTTCTGTAGCATCCTGTGAACCCCAGGAAGTATCTATCTT